CTGGAGGAGCTGGAGCCCGCGGGGGGTCTCGGCGGGACGGGGGCCCTCTCCCCGCCCCGCCGTCACCGCCCGCCGCCCCTCCGCGGGGAGAAGAAGCACTACCTGCCGCTGTGGAATAATGAGGATCCCTACGGAGACATGTGGGTGGCGGACAAGCCCCAGGCACAGGTGGACGTCGACGGTGAGAGGGGAGGAGGCGGGGAGAGGGGAGGGGGTGGAGGGGGACATCCGGCCCGGAGGCCTCGAAGGTGCCCGTGGAGGTGAGAGGGTGCGGTTGCTTGTGCAGCTGGTCTGAAGTGACCCCCCGGTCACATTAGGCACCAGTACAAACATGTCCTACCTGCCACAGTTTACATGTTTGTGTTACTTTTGAGGTGTCGTAGAATTGTTATGGTTGGAAGAGACCTTTAAGACCGTGAAGTTAATCTAACGCTGCCAAGTTACCACTAAACCGTGTCCCTCAGCGCCACACCTTTTAAATACCTCTAGAGATGGTGACTCAATCCGTTCCCAGGGCAGCCTGTCCCAATGGTCAACAACCCTTTCAGTGAAGAAATTTTTCCTAATATCTAATCCAAACCTCTCCTGGTGCAACTTGAGGCCGTTTTCTCTTGTCCTGTCACCTGTTACTTGGGGAAATAGACCGATCTCCACCTCCCTGCAGCCTCCTTTCAGGTGGTTGTAGAAAGAGATAAAGTCTCCCCTGATCACACAAACCAGCTGTTCCTGTAGTGGTCTCTTGGCTAGTCTGTGGGAGTGGATGCACCTGGAAGTTGCTGCTCAAAATGCGGCCAGTCCATGAACTCTGGTGAGGAGGGAGGTATAAGGAGGGCTTCTGCAAAAGCGTGATGCCCTTGTAACTCAAGGCCTATGTCTTTTGTAGTAGCTCTTCTGCTTATCTGATGCTTGTGTGTCATTTTAAATTAAATCTTAAATTTTCAATTAAAAAAACCAAAACTCTGCTGTGTGCTGATAGCTCAGAACGGAATTTCATGGCAAATAATGTCAGTAAATGAGCCTTTTTAAATGTTAGAAACATTAAAAAAATACATGTGATGGCCTGATTTGTGCATTTTACTCCTGAAAGCTTAAATGTTCAGTCATAAATGCTCTTTTTTGGTCTTTTTTTCTTCAACCTTAGTCTCCAAGCTGACTTCTCTTGGTCAGCTGGAAATGACTTGGAGAAGCAGAGCTCACTTCCATCCACTTCTTGTGAGAGTCCTGCACAAATCTAGACTAAGGTACTACGGGAAACCAGAGAAAAAACTGGATATGCCTTATCAGGTAAAGAGGAATAAATACATAGGTTAACACTCAAACAAATAGCTGTAGGACATCTGGAAATCATTATTCCCATATAGTAAGCATATAAAGTTAAGATTTATGTTATAGCTACTTTATATTAAAAATGCTACCTTTCCAAAAATGTCAAGCCCTTTAGAGTAGGAAATGGTGAATTTAGTGATCGTATGTACAAACTTTGGTGGATGTGTTTCAGTTACTGTAGTTGAGCTTTTTGTGAAGGAAAAGAAATATTTGGAGTTTTTAGTAGCTTAACAGCCTAAATGTTTCTGGTCTTTATGCTTTGGAAGTTGGAGTTAGTTTGTCTTGTCCAAAGGAAAAAAAGAAAAGCAAACAAATTTTAACAATTTGTGTCTGGTAATTCTCACACCTGGTGACTTCCAGATATGTTGTTTTAGTGTAAAATTCTTAATGATTTTCTTAATATGTTGTATTGTACTTCGTGTAGAGCTTTTTAGAAATGGAGGTAGCAGGTGTGGTGGATTGGTCCCAGCTGGCAACTAAGCACTTGCCAGCTGGTCATTTGCTTTCCCTTGCCCCCTCCAGAGGGCTGGGGGAGAGCCTCAGAAGAGCAAAAGTGAGAAAAAGTCCATGGGTTGAGATAAAGACAGTTTAATAAGATGAAGGGGAAAAAAAAGGTCAAACAAGTGATGCAAAGGCAATTGTTCACAACTCACCAGCAGACCAGTGTCCAGCCACACTCTGAACAATGGGTGCTTTGGCAAGACTAGCAGCTTGTTTTATATCCGAGCATGATGTTACATGGCCTGGAATCTCCCCAAGATCACTTGAGGTCAGCTATCTCAGCTGTGTCCGCCCCCAGCCTCTTGCCCACCCCTAGCTTACTTGCTGCGGCGGCAGAGTGAGAAACAGGAAAGACCTTGACATCGTGCAAGCGCTGTTCAGCAACAGCTAAAACCCCGGTGTGTTATCAACGCTATTTTAGTCACAGTTCTAAAATGCAGCACTGTACAGGCTGGTACAAATAAACTGCAACCTAGCCAGACCCTGTACAGCATGGCAACACTTTACAAAGAGTGCATATAAATTCTTCCATGGGGAGAGAGAGCTGAAAGACGGTGGTATTCTCTTATTCCAAGATTTTGTTCCCTGGATCTTTTTATCAGAGGTATTTCTCAGTATACAGTCTAGATGATACTTGTAGCTTTCATGGCAGTTCGTCACTTACTTTTCCTGACATTGTGTAGAATCAATATCTGGAGCTGATTCAGCTCAAGAAGCTAAAGGTGACAGATCTTACATGCTTTTTGCTCTATGCATTCCTTTTTTAGATGGTGGTGTGTGTTGAATTATTGTTAATATATAAAAACCAATGGGATAACAAAATATTCTATGCTATAATGGTTTACTTTTAAGGATTCACGGTTCGTGACTAATTAGGAATATTAGAGTGAACTAATAAGTGTTGATTTGGATAATCTCTGTATTGAACTTGGAATAAGGAAAAGAGGATTTTAGAAGCAGCGAGGGAGAAAAACACATGAGATGTTAGATATGTTCAAGAATGGTAATATACTAAAGAGAGTGGATGGTAGTATGAACAAAAGCCAGATGATTGTTTGAGGCTGACAGATGAATGGATAAAATGAAGCATTTTCATAGAGCTGAGGTTATTTTTCAGTGGGTTGCCACCTTTTAAGACCATTATAAGACTGTTTAAAAATCCTTTTCACTGCTCAGTGATCTGCTCAGTTATGGATTCAAAATTTGCCCAGGTTAAAAAAAAAATGGGTAGAAATCTTTGCCATGAGAAAAACTTAAATGAGAAGATAGTGGTTTGCAGTGCAGATTGTTTTCTGCATATTTTTTTTTCCTTGAAAATCAGACATATCATGTTTTGATCAAGAATATTTGGCAAATGGTCCTGTAACATCTCAACTTCCAAAATATGTTTTTTCCTTCCTTGACATTTTAAAATCTTATTCTAAATACAGTATTCTCACTGATAAAAAGAATCTTTTCAGTATTGTTTCTTGTGCATCGTATTTCCCCAATCTCCTCTAAAAATCTTAGAGAGAAACTAGCGTCACCTACGATTACTGAGCACTGAAAAAATAAGAATTTGGGCTGGGGTAGTTGTAGAAAAATTATTTTGTGGAAATTCTTCATTTCTTCAACTTTGCTATTCAGTACAAGTTTTGGAACATACTCTGTATCCATTTATAATCATCAGAGAAATTGTTCATGAGTTAAGTAGCTGATGCATTATTGAAAATAAATACATACCAGAACGATGATAAATAAAAGATGAATGTACTTTGTCTGTTTTTTTTCTTTAGGCTTACTTTGAAGTTGCTGATGGTTCAGGCATGATGTCAATGGTTTTGTGGAATTCATTATGTCCTGAATGGTATAACAGTATAAAGGTTGGCACAGTACTACTTCTTGAACAGTATGCTATCAAAACCAGTTACCCATTTAAAACACAGCCAACCCCAGGGGATTCACAGATGAAGAGATTTCCTACAATCGGTTAAGTATTGCAGAAACCTGTTTTGAGTCAATAAAATGTAGCTTTAAAAAGGCAGCTCTTTATAGAAATAAAATAGAAAGTAATCCATGGCTGAGACTACTTGAGAAGGTATATATCTTTAAATATTAGCTCTGAAAGCTGTCTTAGCATCTAAGTTCTTATTGTTTGCTGTTTATATTTGGGTCATGTCAACAAAATTTATTGCCACAATTAGTTAAAACCTTTATTTAAAAATAAATAAATAAAGATATAATCCCTGACTTCAAGTATCGGGTTCATAAAGACAGGCTTCTGGTACTGAATTTTAATCTCAATCTACTTCCTGATTCATAATACAGGAATCATTTGTGCACTTCTCACACCTCCTTCCAGCTCACTGAAGCACATTGTCACCTAATCTGACTTCAGATTTTAGTGTATGTGGTCAAGTCCAGAGTATTTGCAAATATACTGCAATATATTGCACTGAATAAAAAGATGCATTGAGACTGCTGTCTACGCTGCAGCACTATGGGAGTACATATATGAAGAATATTCCTTAGCTATCAGGAAGTATTTTCTTACTTGCAGTTGTTTAGTGTAACAGATATCCAAGGGATCTATGCTACAGAAATACAAGTGCTGCAATGTAACAATGATAGCCTTTTCAAACTGGATTTGATCTTTTTTTTTTTTTTTATTCTCCTACTTCGCTGAACATGAGTTCTTTTCCCTTTTGTTCTTTTATACTCAGAACAAACCGACAGCCAACATTCAAAAAATTCAAGTAACTTCCTTGAAACAAGCGAATATGCATGTTAGTGAAGGATGATGTATGTATAACTTATTAAAAATGACAGTTTCCTAATGCAGTTGCTACAGTGAACGAAAATAAATAGTATTTTCATTGCTAGAAGCAGTGTGTTCTCTGCCTAATGTACCTTTGCCTTAAAACCAGATCTTAATGTCTGAAGTGTTTGTGATGAGTTGGCAGGAGAAACAAACTTCCATTCCTTGCTAACCATTTCTGAGGGAAGCTGATGGTGATTACAGGCCAGCCCTGAAAGCAATTATGATTGCCGCAAACCCTTTCTACGGGAAAAGGACAGAATAAAATATGCCATCTGAGGTCACTTTTTCTATGGGCAAAAGTAAATCATTTCAATGGCTTCATTCACACTACACTACTGATTTGTGCAAGCACTATTGGGATACAAATGTTAACAAAGAGATCAAGATGCAAAATTAGGCCAATGGGCTGTAAATGGTAATAGATGCATAATGGGAGAATTAAGTCAGTCTGTAATAAAGTGCCATGGTGTATTTCCAGGCCACAGATAAACTAGAAATTACTAACCTTTGGTTAATACTAATGTATGTGTGATATCTTACTTCCTTTCTCAGCACAAAGTTCAGGATTTTGTCTTAATATAAACTTACAAAACATATAATACCATGCAGTGATTGATCTTATCCCCACATATTTTGTGAGAAGAGAATCTAAAGAGAACCGTATATCCAGAAACATTTCTAGAGCAGTTATAAAATTGGTTTTATGCAACTCCTGGTGCATGGTTGTTGGTTTTGTTGGTTGGTTTTTTTTTGTTCAGAGGAAATAAGATTTAATGCCTCGCTAATTACTCCATTAGTATAAATATCTCTATATGCCCAATATGGGGCAATATTTCAGGTTTTTTCAGGTGCTCCAGAAGTTGTTCAGCTGGCTAGTTAAAGCAGTCAATTATACTGAGTTCCATAAGTAACAATTACTTTTTTCATCATCTAATTTGTAATTCTATCAAACTTTTCAGTATTTCCTTAGGACCATTCACTGGTAAATGTTGTAAAATATATCTGGAAGGTTAACAAGGCCACAAGGGAAAGGGCTTTCCAAAGTAAGAGCTCTTAAAAGACAGGATGTTTCTGGCCTATTCCTAGATTTCTGTGAAGCGAGTTCTGCGTTGCTTGCTTCTCTTTGCTGCTGCAGCATTGTATGACATGCTGACAGGTGCTGTTTCAGGACCCAAAACCTTTGGAGCTTAAATAGTACCAGCACCTTCAATTCCACTGCTAGGAAACGTGTGCATGACACAGATCACTGAATTTATATGGTACTGACAAAAACTGCTGGTTTGAATATCCTGGACTGACCTTAGCTGCTGAATCGTCCCAGGCTGTAGTCCTGAGTTGAGTGTATGACTTTTATCTAATCTCGAAATGACAAAACAATTGATAAATGGTTTTGATGCATGGGAAAGTGTGTTTTCAGGATTTTTCCCTGAGATACTGACGTAAAACACCATATGCAAAATCACAGTTGTCTTTCAAATACATTTCTAGAAAGCAGCAGCCAAAAGAAAATTCTGAAATAGAGGGTTTGATTTCAAGTTAACACCTTCCTAATGTTGCATTGCTAGGGTGAGGTACTGGATAGAATTATATAAATATTATATATATATAAAATTACATTAAAAATTGTATAGATTACTTTTCTGGGTGCATTATTTGAATAATAATTTGAATAATCCCTTACCCAAACCAAACATCTTTTAGAAACATCATCAGAATCTATCTCTTTCATACCAGCAAGATTTGTCTTGTTCCGAGAAAGACAACAGAGTACCAGCTTGTGTATTTTAGATTCCTCCTGTATTTTCATTTGGTTGCAGAACCTCCCACTTTCCCCAATGCTCCACCATGTTTGCTGTTCAGCATCTAAACAGTCTGCTTAATTTATGAAGTTTTTGAGGTGCAATAGAATAGACATGAGAAGACATTTAGTTTTTCTCCATGGCCATAGTGTATTTCTGTCATATTGATAACTACCTGAACTGGTATCAGATGTGGAAGTTCTCATCTGATAGTTCTGTTTTCTGCTTTATGTCAATGTCTGCAAAGTCAATTTTAGATCATAGTGACGTTGGAGAATGAAGCTGGTGTAAAAAGTACTTTGTATCTAGTCAATATTGTAGTATTAGTTCCTGTTGCTGTTTTTTAAAATGTCTGGCTGAATCAGACTAATTGGCTCCTGTAGGGAACTGGGGAGTTTAACATTGCTCAGATTATACAATAGCATTGTTGAATGCTGTACCTGAATTCCTTACTTTATTTTAATGAAAGCATAAACTCAGATGAATTGATTCATAATTTCACAAGCAGTGAGACAAAGTTCAAATACTTCATTTAAGAAACTTATATCCTGTTTTTTCTGAGTTTTTTTAAGGTTTTGTTGGGTCTTTTTCTAATTTGTATTCCCCCCTTAAATGTTACTTTTTTTTTTTTCTTTGTCAGAAATCAGCCTTAATGTTCGAGACCCTCCTACTAAAATAAGTATTATTCCAGAAGAAATGGTTAAGCCAGAGTGGGGATTGCCTGAAGTTAAATATCGGTTCATCACAAGGTAAAATAGAATTTTGTTGGTTGTCAAGCTGGAGCTAAAATTTCCCTACGTTACACCGCATGTTAATTGGAAATGTTTTTTGAAAAGTTTCTGAGAAAGCTTTATGTTTTGTTATTAACTAAGACCCACATTTTTGTTCTGTTTCTGTTTTAGGTCAGAACTGGATGACTTACCAAACAATCATTCCTGTGATGTTATTGGTCTTGTGACATTTGTAGGAAGGGCTGAACGAGCAAGAAAGAGAGGTTATTTTATAAATATGATTTTCAGAATTTATCAATTTTTAACTTTCTGAATAAATGCTTATACATTTTTCTTAATATTTGCTTATATAGAACATGGTGAAGACTTCTGGCTCTATCGTTGGGCACATGCCATTGATGGGACCTCAGACCAACCGTTCATACTGGAATTATTTGCGACTTCTCAGCCAGATGTGTTTGAACATATTCACCCAAGTATTCATCTCTCTATAATACTTATTAATAATTATTTATAGCATTTTTTTAGTTGCTTGCTAATTTCAAATTCTGAGTATAATTGCCACTGAATAAAAAATTCCCATGGTTTATCACCTCAAGCAGAAAACAATTGATCAGAAATGAAAATTTAAAAATAAAAAAAAAAAAATAGTTTAAGTATTTGAAGCTCTTATCATACTGCAGTCTGCCAGTTAGTCTAAATAAATAGATGGTCAGCTGTGCCTGGGGCTCACCTGATCCCATTAATTTCAAACAGAAACTTAACTGAAGCACCTGTGGCAACATCTCTTGCATCAGAGGCAAATAAAGGCGGCAGCTGGTCAGATTTGTTACTCCTTTTTTCCTGTAAATAAGTATTTTTTTATAGACAGGAATAATTTAGAAGGATTGGAGGAAGGGAGAGTGAAAGTGGAAAAGCTTCATTTCTTTGAATAAATATTTTTTGGCTAAACAGCAGTCATCACCCAGCTGTGTTAGTTACTGCATGTGAGCTAAGAATGATAAATTTCAAACTTTTAAAAGAGCTTTAAATATTTCTTCTTGCCGTCTTTCTCTTTTCCTCCAAGCACTCATCCTTCCTTTAACAGTGGTTGGTGGATTATTATTTTTTTTTAATATTGCATAATGCAGGACCAGTTACGCAGCCCTGTTAAGATTATGGCTGCATTCATCTTGAGTGTTCTGGGTAAATGGCAAAGAATGGCATTCCAGTGTTTAACTGAGATATCATAGAGTACAAACTCACTCTTCTGTTAATAAGTTTTGCAGTGGCATGTCATGATTTCTTGTGATTCCCGTGATTTTATCCTTAAGAAACACAGCCATCTAATATCCATATTTTTACTATTTGTTTCACTGATATCCTCCTGATGAAATATCTCATGCTTTAGTCCTAATATATATGCTGAAATTTCCTTGTGGGGTTATTAAATTGAGAATTTAATTACATCTGCACATTGTAATTTATAAGAGGCTCAATACATGCTGAACCATTTGTAAGGTCAGGAACTAAAATGTCTTTTTTAGAGCACTTAATAAAATTAATCCAGTGTGTGTCAGTCTTGGCATTCTAAAATCAATGAAATATCAGGGAAAAAAACCTGAAGTTTTTTTTTTTTTTCTGTCCAGTGACGTATTTGGTGTGTACCCAGATGAGGGTGGTACGGGACCTCACTGAGAATCCTTCCAGCACAGTTTACCTTACAACTTCAAATGAAAGTCAAATATTCATTACAGGTAACTTAAAATAGTTTTAGTTTTACGTAGTTCTCATCTTATTCCTTTGGAAAGGGTATTTTTGTTTTACAACAAAATAATCAGCCATAGTGTTAGTTTCCCCGTCAGAAATGACTTACAGTTAATAATGAAACACCATTTCAAAAAGAAAAAGGCAAATTGCATTCTTGTGAGGCATTAATGGGTGTATCTCATGAAAAGTACCCAAGTATTATTAGGTTAAGTCATATGTTTACTAATTCTTTCAGCCTGTTTTAATCCTTTGAGAGCAATGCAGATTACCACTTCCTTAAAAACATTAAAAACCACTTGCATTTTTTCTGGCTTACAGATTTCCTTATTATCAAAAAAAAAAAAAAAAAAAATAACACCTGGACTCTGGAACGCCTGCATTTCTACTTAGTGGAAAGATTTTTCTCCTTTTCTCTAATTCACTTTGAAATCACGCAAATGTCTGTGCAACTAAGTACCTGCCAGATTTGTGGTGGTTACATTTTGTAGAAATTTAAAAGAAATTATTTAGAATCACAGAATCATCTAGTTGGAAGGGGCCTTTAAGATCATCTAGTCCAACCATCAACCTAACTCTGATAAAAAAAACAAAAGAAAACCATACAAACACACACCCCCCCCCATTATTAAACTATGACTCTAAGCACTATGTCAACCCATCTATTGAAAACCTCCAGGGATGGTGCCTCAATCACTTCCCTGGGCAGCCCATTCCAGTGCTTAATAATCCTTTCAGTGTAAAAATTTTTCCTAATATCCAATCCAATTTGTTGAGATCTATTTCAGGCCGAAACTGAAATTCTGAAGAAATATCCCAGAAAAAAAAAAAAAAAAAAAAAAAAAAAAGTGTATAGTTGTCCTAAATTTATCTTAGCTTATCTTTTTCACCAAATATTTGAAGAGCTGTTATGTTTCATCTTTGCCAATCTGGGGGGTCTTACACAGGCCACGTGGTCTGGGAAGGAGACTGGTGCTGGGCTGCACTGAAGGAGCCGTTCCGTCTAGATGGTCTTGTTGGAATGCTCCTGTCTGCAGTTATGATACTCTTTATGGCCCTGTGGTACCATACACTAGATACTGCCACTCAGCGTGCCACAGGCACAGCTGTTTGTAGTGTATTTTCTCTTGAATCAGGAGGCAGATTGTAGCAGTGTTGCAGGCAAGTGATGTACTGCCCTAATTGCAAGGGAGTATAAGATGCAATAGGTGTATCTTTCCTGTGTTTGTTTATCCAGCTCATTTCTTCAGTGTTCCAAACATACCAGTCACCCACTCTGAATCTTTCTGCTGACAAGTAGGAATAGAGAAAAATACATGTTAAATAAGTACCTGAAGGTGGTCAGTTCTATATACTTGGTCTTTCCAGACAAGCTGGGTAAAATGCTCTGTGTTCAATTGGACTAGCAAAAGAAGCTAGTCTTTTTGTTAATACATTTCTAATTATTTCATTTACTTCTAAATGAATGGTTTGAGAGGTTGTTTTTTCTCTTTGCTTTCCTTTGGTATATTTTGTGCTTAATTTTCTAATTAAATAGTTGAGCTTTCCCCCACCCTAGCTTTGGTTCATTTTATGTCTGTTTGGGTCCTAAATGAGAACTACAGCTGGAGATTGCAAACCATTGGATAAGGTTTAGACATAGACCTGGTCAGATTACAATTTATTTGATAAAACTGGTGTTTAGTCCATATCTTGGTTTTAAACCAGCCAACAATGAATAGATACCTTGCCAATTATCTGTCAGTAATGATCTTTGCTTGTCTGCTTTTTCCTGCTAATAAAACAATTTCTGATCATTTTATTCTTTTGGATGCTCCTGGGAGAAAGCATTCTAGTACAATTTTTGCTAGTTGTTTTATTTCTTTCTACTGTTTAACATGTTTCTAACTTTCAGTGTCACATACTAGTGTTATTCAAGGAATTCAAGATACTAATTGCATAAAACACTGTTGACTAGTGGAAGGATGTTGTTTGTATTCTCTAGTACAGTTTTTCTTAAATGTTTTTTTCTATGTAGTGTTTATGATAGTTTCAAAGATGACAGTAACCTGCTTTGGTTTTGATACCTGATTATTTTTGTTTTAAAAGGGTGGCACAAGGGCCAGCCATACACCAAGGATACCAAAGTGAAAAACTTCATTAAGTGGACTAAAACACAACGTGAAGCTGATCAAATGAAGAAAACTGTCATCGGTGGCTATTATCCTTTTCCACGACCTCCAAATAACTTTTTGAAATATTGTAAAAAAAATAAAGGTATCATACCTTCAAATATCTCTAAGATTTGAACTTTTTCAGTTCAGTCTTAATCCAAGCATTTAATGCATCAGTTAAAAATCAACACGTTTATTATACTTATTATACAGATTTGGAGTGTCTTTTAAGAAAAACTCCCTTTCATGACTAAATATATTATAGGCTAAATCCTCATCTTACAGAAGGTAGCATGGCACCAGTAGTTGCAGAACTGTAGCATCTTGCATGAGATACAAATCTGCCCCTAAGTTTTGCTCTGAATATTCTGCTAAGTCAGAATTAAAGACAATTATACTGAAGAACACAGTAAATTAGAAATTTCATCTGAAACAGAAATTGTGCTATCTGATAATGCATACCAAAAGATGCTTGTGAGCTAAAAAGATTCATTGTTTAAATTTTTTCCATGTGATGTGAACAACAAAAAGATTTAAAGTTCTTCAGAAAGTAATTTTAAATCAGTTTGATATTTAATAACAAATTGTCTTTTCTTTTGAGTCTTTCATTCACACATTTTGATATTGTATTTCTTTAAAATTTGTTTCTGGAAATTTCTTTTTTGCAGTGGAATCGGTTTTGAAAGCCATAGGTGAAACAGGCAAAGAGATTCAAGACTTGCACTACAGAGAACACAAGCGCATTGCTGTCCAAGGAATAATTAGTGCCATAAGATACATCAGCTGTAGCAGTGCAGCTGGAGAAGCCTCAGGAGTGGAACTTGTTCAGGTACAGTGTTTGAGAATTAATGTTAAAGCATTTAAGCAACTGATTGTAATTAGAATGAAGAATTCTGCATTTGAGTTCAGAACCTAGTTATATTGTCTCTTGATTAACTTCATTTCCTATTTTGAGAGCAAAATTTTTGAAAGTCATAATTTAGAACGTTTTTAAAAGCAACGATTCCGTGCTTTTCTGAAAGTATTATGACAGTCCTCCATAAAGCTACCTAACTGTGTAGAAGTTACTAGTTTGACTGGATAGCCTAATGTAAATTAGAATGTGGGGAAGTCAACTACTGCAACATGGTCTCTGTCACTTTCTAGACAGAATTTATCTTATTAATATGATTAGAAGATAATTTCTGCTAGATGAAACATGACTTTCAGAAGGTAGGTAAATTGTTTTTGTAAGTTCTTTGTAAGTTACTTGAAAACTTGAAGGTTTTTGAGTTGGAAGCAATAACTTGAAACGTTTTGAAACTCTTAAACAATTAACTGTTGTTGTAGAAAGATACTTCTCGGTCTCTTGAGAGTTCTGCTACATCCAAAGAAGACACTGTTCACAAGGGAAAAAACACCAACCTTCAAAATAAAGAAGTTAAGTCTTTTCTGGGGCCACATTGCCCTCCTGGGGAACAACGCCAAGCTGTGCTGTCAAAAAAGAGTTCAGTCAAGAGAAAGATACCACGCAGATTAAATACAGATGCACAACAGTAAGTTCTCTTCATGAATATATAGTGGATTTTCTAAAAAGTGTTTGCGGAAATGAGGTCAGAGCCCAGGCCATAGAAAATATATAAGAAAGCTTTAAAAGCTTATATAATTTAATCTTTAAAAGGTGGTGAGGTACTTTTCCTAGCGTCAGTTGAAGACGATTACACTGTTCAGGCTAATGAAGGATTGTTTAAAGCAGGTGTCTGGTTTGCAGTGCTCTCTTCTGATTAATATTAATGCTGCTTTGTTGTTAATTTCACAGATTTGAAATAAAAGCAGTTAATTTTTGAACCATTTATAGTTTAGTGACATAGCCATGGAACAAGCAACAGTTACAGTGGTGTGAGCAAATAAGATTTCTTCACTGAAAATGCAGAATCAGGATCTGATATACCTGTTCCTTAATTTCAAATATACCCTATTTTTTTCTTTCTGGTTAATAGAACGTATTGCATGTAGCTGTAACTTAATATCAGAGAGGCAAGAAGATGGTGGTAACCTAAAGGCTCGAAATAACTTGTAGTACTATGGCTCTGCTTGTGATGGGATTTCATGAAAATGTATTGTGTCTAGTCAGACATAGACAAAGGACATCAGTCTGATATAAAGAAATGGAATAAGACAAAATAATTTGTCTTATAAAACCGTATTAGTTTCAAGAGTAAAATAGCTGCTTGTATAAGATTGCCTTTTGTTGCAGTGTTTGTGCAAAATCTAATGTACCTGTATTTAGTATTAAAAGCCTGGTGTATACATTGACAGATTTAATGTTGCAAAAATCTCACCAGTCGTGTTGTCTTCTTTTTTTGTAGTGGATTTCTCATTTAGAGGGTGTATTTTTCTTCTCAACTTTTCATATTTTCACATCTAAAAGTCATAATGTGGCAAGAGGGTGGGTATGCAGAATATTTTGAGGGAAAATGAGATGAAATGTAATCAGGATTGAATGAAAAGTTAAGACTAAAAAAATCCTGGTGGATAGAAGTTCTGTCTTGTCAGTGTTACAGCAAGCTTGTTAGTGGATTTCTGTTCCATAAGGATAATTCCAACATTTGACTATCTTAGGTTCATTCTGCCTGAAAGAAAAACATGTGTGTTCTTTGCTTTGTGTATTTCCATTTCACTAAATGCTGTAAAATAATGGTGAGTTTCCTGCTTTAAGGGGAAGTGCATCTGTTACTCCTGTACCATCTTACCCCTATTTCACACGGTCTGCAAGAAGAAAATTTGGGTAAGTCATGTGAAGTTAATTATGTTAAATAGTTGCAATGATGAAACAAAGATATTTGAAGTGAAACTTTTATCGTCAAGAATATGTATGGAAGTGAAATGAAAGAAGAGATCAGGTTAGAGTTTAATATTTTCTATTGAGTTCCTCTGCGCTGATTCCAGTTCAAATATATTGGATTATTTTATTCTGAAACTTAATTTTGAGTGTGTTATTAAACATATTTTTATATTGTTACTAGTTCTTCTTAGGGAACGTATGGTAATAGGGGTCCATAATGGTAAGCAGAGTAATATATGTAGTTTTTCTTTCAGAGAGATTACAGTTTAAGTAGCAAAGTCAAAGGTGGGAGCGAGGGATGCTTAACTAGCTGGCAGAGTGAACAGTGTAATACCATTAATGGACTTGCTAGCTGGGGTTGAGCTGTATGTCATCCTCGGTGCTACAGAGGTGTAAGCAGAGTTATCCCTGAGAAGCCATTTGGCTCTTTCTGCTACCTAAAACTCAGTCCTTATTGAACTCGGTTTGGATCCAGAGAAGGATTTAAATAAGAAAACCCCACAGGTAGGAATTTCAACTCCAGACCCCTGATAAGTCCTAATGAAATAACTACAAATGGGTTATTATTACGAAAACTGAACATAATTGTTGTTATTTGCTAGTCTGGGGTAAAAAGCTACTTTCCTTTCTGCATTTTGTTTAAGGGCCATAAATACTTGTTATTTGTTCCAAACTCAGTGGGTAACTTGAACGTTTGAACTCTTTGATGTCAGTAACTTCAGATGTTTGGGGGTTTTGGCAGCGGTGATTTGGGCTTGTGTCGTGAGTACCTATGCCCCTCAGTTGCCGCCTTAGTTTACTTTTAGCACCTCTTCCCTCCCAGGTAATACAAAGAATGATGGTGCTAGGGTTAGAGCAACACAGTAGTAATGATGGAGTTGATCCTAAGTCGTTGACCATTCTGCCAGTCTTACTGCCCTACAAGCATGCCTATTGTCTTGAAAAACATTTCTTCGAAGCTAATTTGCAAAAGCTTTTTCTGTGAGATATACTGGGATCTTTTGAGCCGCATTTTCTGTTGTTTTCTCTAGTCCTCTTGGTAGATATTGCATTTTCTAGGGGAAATGGTTGCCAGGCTCTGCAGGCCATTCATTAAAAGCATGACACCTGAGTTTAAGGCCACGCCTCTGCAGGTGGTGCAGCTGTTTGCAGGGATTTGTGGCACAAATCCACAGGAAAATCAGGTTTTTTTTAATGTGACGAATCCTGTTTCCTTTCATTTGCTGAGAAATGTTCCATTTTTTCTTGAGGGTGGAGGGTGGGAAGAATTTCTCCCCATTTCTTGAAAGTGAAGCAAAAAGTTAAGGCATGTTTACTTTGTTCTCTGCTTTTCTCAATCTGCTACTCTCCTCGCTCCCTGTGTGTCCACTCTATGCCATTAGTGCTAGAACCCCAACTAAAGGAGGAGAAAGTCTGTGTTGGATTATGGAAAGCTGTTTCACTCTATATAATTAAAAGGTAACTTGTGTATTTCTGTAATTGACTATGAAGTTGTGCTGAGTTTTCCAAATTGCAGAATTAAAATAGTTTAGCCTCACAGACCTTAAAATTGCATTGTTTTCTGTTCTGTTGCTTAGAAGTAGCAGAATGTCAGCTCTCACTGAAACATTTTGTACATTGATAAAATAACAACAGTGGAGATATATTTTTAAATGCGTATTATATCTTAAATTATTTTGTGTCAAGTATTTTGTGCAATTTTTCAGGATGTGGTTGCATTTTTAAAGTTTTTTTGTTTTTAAATAGAAATAGCTTATCTTAAGGCTCTTTATTGACAGCCTCAGTTCCTATGTTTCTGAGGTAACTTACTTATCTGATTACTAAGGGTTTCAGAAAGAACAAGCTAAGAGGAAACTGGTTAATTTAATATTATTGTTGATATTTGCATACTTGTTAGGAGAGACATTCAACATAAATGTACTTTTAAGCATTTAATATAACCCAATTTACTTCGGGGTGTATTAAATGCTAAAAATACATTTTAAATTGATAGTTTATTGTGAATGAGGAAAGATCAGGAATTTTAAAAAAGCTTGTTTTTATGTAGAAGTGAAAAAAACCCAGTAGTTTTCTTAGCATTTTAATCTTTTTAAGTTTAGCACTGCAGTTACCATGGAGTTGCTTGTGCACTGCATGCTCATGCTCTACACTGCTTGAAAGTAACTTGTTTGTGTGCTTCTAACCTTGCACTTTCAGTTCTAAATGTTTATGTAACTTAGACCCTTTTCTCCTTTTGCCCTCCCCTCTGATGAGAGTTAAGGGATGAGGATTCTGTAATATGGGGAAATTCAGCTTGAGGTTTGCATGACTGAAAGTTTCCCAGAATTTGATGTTTCCTTTGGACCGTTGTTTCACATAAATCAGAATTTTTCAGGGAAAAGTTGGTAGATATCAACTAACACTTTTTGTAAACTTGCCAAATTATTGTAGCTTGGTTACTCTGTTACTTGCTGTGGTAGCTGAGTGTACCATAATGGTGACATCACAGTTGAGTTGATTTCAAACCCATCTATAAAATGAGGCTTTTACCAGTTATATCAGTAAGTGGGGTGTTTGGTTTTGTTATTTTGAGGCACTTAAATGTCTTGAATCATTTGGGCATGGCTACAAGTTGTAACTATTTTCTTTCTTAATATTTTTTATCTCATTTAGTCTCAGACCTTAGGAAATAGGCGTGAAGCACAACACATGCTTTGTTTCCCAGTATTTTCTAAAAGTATTCATCTGGCATCTATTCTGATTAATGTTATTTTTGTTGACAACACTTAAAGTAAAATGACTGAGAAGGTGAATACCAGTGCATCTGGAAATACTGAATAAAGGCTTTTTTTACAAATGGCCATCTGTGAAAAGGGGAGCCTGCAGAATGCAGGCTGAGAATAGCAAATTTGGCACGGCACAAGTTCTCATAAATCTGGCTTGGGCAAAATAGGAATGTGGGTGTTTTGATGTACAAGAGCCACAGTGTATTGCAGTAAGTGGAAGGATTTGGGTTTTACCAGGTGGGTTGCAGACATACTGCCTGGCAGAGAAGCATATAAACTGTGTGTATAGACAAGTAGGTTTCCCTTAGGAACCTAGCTGAAATTATGCTGTATGCACATGAAGCACAAAGCGGTCCTGTAGGAATAACACGTCAGGCAGGTAGGAGAAATCATCCCAGCTACAGATCTGTGAAAGAAATGGGGAAAAAATGTGACAAGTTATTTTAATATTTTTCAGAGTCTCTCTTTTCATAGGCTTTAAATCAGAGCCTCTTCACCTCCAAAACTAGATAATTTTGAAAGAGAAAGATCCGTTTTGATAATACCAACTTGTCATCAGTATGACTTGGTTTAATCCTCTGCTTTAATGAAGAGGGAGGTTGGCAGTATCAAACTTGACACACTGATTTCTGAGCAAGCCTTTCCTAACATTGTACTAGATTTTCATGTCTCTTGTTCAGAAGTTCAACTCTTGAAAGTTAGTTTAGTGGGCACTAATTTTTCATTACACTACTTTTGTTAATACTTTTGAAAATGTCTTCTAATGGCTTGAAAATGTATTAATGTAGCTGATATATAAATTTTTAATTTATTGTTATACATACACAGGAATTACTTTTCATGACGATTCTTGTAAAAGGAATTAATTCTTCATGAGATACTGTTTTCATGGAAGCATTCTTTTATCTGGAAATAATACTATAGGAAGCACAATGTAATTACTGAATTATCATTTTAGAAAGAGACGTCTCATCAGAAAACATAAAAATACCTGCATAAACTTAGATCTGTTGTAGATCAAGATGTAGACATCTTGACATATTTCTGAGGTTGCCCTGGACCCCAAAATTTGAAATATTCTTTGGACTATGAAGTCACATACAAGCACGTACAACTTTTCATTCACCAACATTTTCGACACAACTCCGCTTAGAAGCTTGGGTGGGGAGTGGGAAGCAAGTAGAGTCGTGCTGTTTTAAAGTTCTCTGCATGGCAGCTTTTTTTATTTACAAAATTAGCTGGCTGAAACCTCAGTTTCACAGTTTGTGCTGCTTAAGTGAGGATTCTTTTTGCGTAGAATTGGAGATCACAAGGAGGTCACTCCAGTACTTGGCCCACACCGTGATGATAGTGTATTTCATAAAGTAGACTTTCATACTCAAAACCCACAATGTATTTCCTTTTATCTTTTCATTAGATTTTAGATATTTTCCATTTGTTATGAAATATTTACATGAAATTTTCAAGAAATATCCTAGTATGAAATGAGAAAAATTGGAAAAAACCCCACATAAATTCTTACGAAATACAGAATGTCCCACTAAAAACAGCATGTTCATCTTTGATTCCTTTTTCACTCTCTGTATATTGTTTCTGTGTATTTGCAGTTACAGTATTTTATTAGTAACTACTTCAGTAGTCTGAAATTTTAATGGTATCTTAACAAAGTCTTGTCTGTGTCTCGGTTGTTTATGATGCAAGATAACTAAGAGAGTCTTTTTCCTAAGTTTACTCAGACAACATGGTGAGTTTATAATAAGAGGTATGGAGCAAGGAAGAAAGGAATAAATGGGCCTAAGAGTTTATTTTACCATGTTGTGGCTGCAGAGTATCTGTTACATTTTTCTCCTGGATAATATCCTAGGTGATTCATCAGAGATTGTCAGAGAATGGTTGCTTACCATTAACTCAAAATTTTGTTGTTAAAAATGAAATTATAACAAAAATCTAGTTTGCTTGATTGAGCTGGTTGTTACAACAGGGTAGTATGTTCAAAGGAAAATATATATTTGGAATTTCCCTGTCATTTTGGGTTCTGGAGTGATGATGGAGTTCATCCTTTGGTTGTGCCTGCTGAAGGGCACTGGTATGGTTGTGCAGCAGCACGCTGTGCAGCTGTTTTTTAGAATCAAGTCATAAACCTGTTGGCCATCTCTGATGTTCAGCTTTTAGGGTCACACAGGCTATTTCAATAGGTGCCCAGTAGAGGGCAACAAACACTGTTTTCTGAGCGTACTTCATAAAGCGAAGAAATACAGCAGTTCTTGTAAGCTTTTCAAAACTGATTTACTGAGTGTAGTAGGTCCTGTTATGTCAAGCTGCTCTATTACAAGTCTCGTGATACAAAGCCAGGTACTAGTGCTTACTCATTCAAGCTTGTATCATTTATCACTAGAAATCTGTCAAGGTTTGAATTTTTGCTGCATAGTGTTTGAGGTTAAATAGGTTTTAAATATATGTATACTCTCTATTACAAGTCTCGTGATACAAAGCCAGGTACTAGTGCTTACTCATTCAAGCTTGTATCATTTATCACTAGAAATCTGTCAAGGTTTGAACTTTTGCTGCATAGTAAATATATATATATATGTATACTATAACTTTCTTTTTTCATAGCTTGGATGAATTTCGACGTGAAGATTTTGTGCAAGATAAAAATGGGCAGGCTGCATCAGACAGTTTACAGTACAGCACAGGTATGTTGCAGATATTTGTTCCGTTAATCTCAGGAGGCTTAAGCTTACTTCTTCTCTTCAGGTCCAAAACAGGCAACAAAGATATCCTTGTAACCCTTTTTTGTCAAGACAGCCCTTCTGTACATCTGGCTGCATCAACCTCTAGGGAGCCACTGTAGTGATGCATTGTTAATGTCACTCTGCACAGTCACGTCCCTGATGTGTTCTACAGGATGGCTGGAAGGACAGTGTCGGGCTGTTTCCTGGGATGGGAGATAAATTTTTGGTGTTGCTTTATACAAATTTTAAGGTAGTTTTGTTCCTCAGAAGCACCTAGTAGCATAAGACCTCACGTTTTCTGTTGGCAGTTGCATGTGATAAAATTGTCCCTCTCTAGGAAGGTAGCCCCAAAGTTATGCAAGTACCTAGTTAAAAAGACAAGTACAAGATGTGGGAGGAATCTAACTTTCTTTTTTCATAGCTTGGATGAATTTCGACGTGAAGATTTTGTGCAAGATAAAAATGGGCAGGCTGCATCAGACAGTTTACAGTACAGCACAGGTATGTTGCAGATATTTGTTCCGTTAATCTCAGGAGGCTTAAGCTTACTTCTTCTCTTCAGGTCCAAAACAGGCAACAAAGATATCCTTGTAACCCTTTTTTGTCAAGACAGCCCTTCTGTACATCTGGCTGCATCAACCTCTAGGGAGCCACTGTACTGATGCATTGTTAATGTCATTCTGCACAGTCACGTCCCTGATGTGTTCTTCAGGATGGCTGGAAGGACAGTGTCGGGCTGTTTCCTGGGATGGGAGATAAATTTTTGGTGTTGCTTTGTACAAATTTTAAGGTAGTTTTGTACCTCAGAAGCACCTAGTAGCATAAGACCTCACGTTTTCTGTTGGCAGTTGCATGTGATAAAATTGTCCCTCTCTAGGAAGGTAGCCCCAAAGTTATGCAAGTACCTAGTTAAAAAGACAAATACATGGGGGAAATATACAAGCCAGTAAAAAGAATGGTGTTTGGTTTAGGGATTTTTTCTAAGTTAATGTTATTAACTTTTTCCTTTCTTCCTCTGCAATTGAAAAATAAACTTATGTTCCATGCATGTTCAAAAGAAAAAAAAAAAGTGAAGATGTACACTGAAATACGTCTCATTTTTTTAACTGTAGTAATGTAATATTGCAGTAGATAATTATATTTAGATATTTATATCTAAAATACAGCTATATTTAAATACTTTTATTCTTAAATTAAGATATCATTTGCACTGATACTTTCTCACTGCATGTGAAAACCTATTTAACTCCAGTTGGTTGTTATTTTGAGTGTAGTCCAAAATAAATGAATCAATCTCTCATCTAATGTAAGTATGCAGTAATTATGTGAATGTGTTAGTAAATTAGCTACTAAGTATATGCACATATTTTTCTGGCAGTATTAGTGTCAATTTTCTTTAAACTCTCTGTCCTGTGTTGTCTAGTTCAATACAGCGAGACTCTTACTTCCCTTATTCTTGTGTATGTTGTGTCAGGTTTCAGTACAGCGAGACTCTTACTTCCCTTATTCTTGCGTATGTTGTGTCAGGTTTCATAGAATCAGAGAATCACAGAGCACCAGGTTGGAAGGGACCTCGCGGATCATCCGGTCCAACCTTTCTTGGCAAAAGCACGGTCTAAACAAGGTGGCCCAGCTCCCTGTCCAGCCAAATCTTAAAAGTGTCCAACACTGGGGAATCCACCACTTCCCTGATGAGATTTTTCCAATGCCTGGTGGCTCTCATTGTGAAAAACATTCTTCTTCTTTTCCATGTGACTCCTTGTAAAAAGGGAATCTTCATCTTCATTTGTAGCCACCCTTTAAATACTGGAATCTGTTGATAAGGTAGCCCCTAAGCCTTCATTTCTCAAGCCTGAACAAACCCAGTTCTCTCAGCCTTTCCTCATATAGCAGGCTTCCCAGTCCTTTGATCATCTTGGTGACCCTTCTCCTGACAAGGCTGTACTGGGAATATTTTGAAATGAGCTTTCTGATAAGCTCAAAAAGTGGGGTTTAACACTTGCTTTCAAAATTGGAAATGATTCTATAAGCTTTTACCATTTACAATCCTCAAGTTCCTTGTAGCAGGGAGGAAGAATAGAGTTGTCATTGACTGTAGCAAGAAATTTTAAAGGTAGCATAGTCCTCAATAGAAGCATATAGTCATTGTGCAAGGGATGGAAAAGTTTATTTTCACTTGTACCCATTTTAAACTTGTTTTCAGGGTTTCTGGCTGTTCATTAAACAAGTTATGTGCTCTCCAAAAACAAGCCACGACAGTGCTCTTCGGTGGTAAAATAAGCTTTTTTTACTACAAGTCTAGCTTCAAAGGTTATTGGTTTACTCACGCTCCAACCTCAGTTTAATTTGTTGTGTTGTATGTTTTGAACATTCTGCCATGTCTTCTCAATAGAAATGTTCTAATGAAAATATTTCTGATCTAGCAGAGAAGTGATACAATTCTATGAGCATATAAGCAGCTAAATATTTTCTGTGTTTATCATAGATCAAGAAGGAATGAGTGATATACCTGAAACTGCAGACACTGGAAGAATTCGTGATTCATGGCAAAGTGACCTGTGGGCACAAGTGAAAGACAAGTTAATGAAGTATTTCCATCACAGCACAATTTTCCCAGAAAGCATCCCACGTAAATTTGATTATGTGCACAAAGACTTACTAATGCAACAGTACAACCTTCATGCAGCAGTGCACCAGCCAAAAGAAACCAGAACAGATAAAAATATCAATGAGTTCAAAAGTGCCAGTGGCCTTGGGTATTATGAAGTGACAGTTTTGGGTAAGTGGTGGATCTTAGCTCTTTGCTGCGTTAACTTGAGAATGACTTGAAGGTTTGTCAGAAACTGCATGATTCTGAAACAGTTGATTCTGAGTACTTTTTGAAGTTTAAAAAGATGATCGTCACTTTAGATTTTTGTTAGAGTCATGATTTAGGATAATTTTTTACTGGAAAGCTGTAGTTCTCATTAAAGAATACCTTTAAATGAAATGACTGAATTTCTTGTTTCTAGTATAACTTTTCCTGCAATTGCAATTTTGTGTATAGGTTTACATGTATCATTTGAAGAATGTGCGTAGTCCTTAAGCTATTGATAATTAGAATTGGAGGTAGGTCCTGTTCACCTTTTCAACTAGTCTGACATCATCAGGTAAATTATTAAATTGCATTTGATTGTCAGCTGACTTCCCTGTTGGACAGGCGTTCATCAGAAGTGTTCTTAAAGTTAAAAGGACAACTATAAATGATTCTTTTGAGCTTTATTCTCATTTTGTGTTGAGTACTGTTGCTCCTGAAGTGCCTTTCTTCCATGCTAGAAAATTAAGAGTTGTGTTTTAGCCATATTCATCAGCTGCTTTTTGCTGCTTCTGGTTAGCACAAAGCTTCAGTTGATTGATGTTTATTTGTTAAAATATAAATATGCAAGTTGATGTGTATCTGTTCCCATTAAAAGGAGAAGGAAATCGCCTACCTTAACAATGCTGATGTTAGGGTCTCATAATTTAAGTTTCCATTATTTACTAAGGGAGATTTGCAGAGAAGGTGTTTGAATATTTACAGTTGTTAGAATCCTGGGACTTACAATATAATACTCAAGACGAAAGTAGCACAAGTACCGCACTGCAGACTGGATAGGGACACTGGTTGTAAAATGAATTTCTCTATCCTTGTAGCAGTGATAAAGGAAAAAAGGAGTGTGAAAATGGCTTCCAATGTTGGTTTCAAATTTTTGACCTAACAGCATTGTTAGCCATAAGTCATAGAGTCCCCTTCTTTGGAGATTTTCAAGACCCGCCTGGATGCCGTCCTGAGTAACATGCTCTGACAAGCTCTGGGTGGTCCTGCTTTAGCAGGGGAGTTGGACTAGATGATCTCTATGGTCCCTTCCAACTCTAAAAATTCAGTGAAATTCAGTGAAATAGTATGTTATAACATCATATCAATATATAGAGAGAAATGTTATTAATTAATGGACAAAGAGCAAGTAAATAAAAATCAGGGTTCAGCCTGCAATAATTTGTTTGTTTTTTAAAAAAGAAGAAATGGTGCATGAAGTTGCTAATGAAGTTTTCTGCTAACTTAATTTTTTTTCTCAACAGGTATAAACCACGATGTAGCCATAGATGTTGCATTTCTTCCACTGTTTTGTCCTGAAGATCCCCACTTATTTCAACTAGAAGACATTCAAAACGATACGTTATTATCTTGTATGAGTTGCATATCTTCATGTCAGCAGAAGGCCACTAGCAATGAAAGGCTTTGTGACATGTTTCCACTTTCAAGTGAGACTGGCTTTCACTGACTTTACTTATTTATCATTTCTTGTTTTTTCTTTCAGTGCAAGAGTTAAGATACATGAATTCTATGTGACCACCTTTAGTAAATAAATGTAATGCTGAACTTTCAAGGCAGTTTTTACGGGAGCTGTTCTCATACAGTGAAGTTAGTATTTTAATATCCAAACCACGAACTCCTAACTGACCTAGATAGTGTTTGCAGTTATTTATTGGTGCAAAATTTTACTGGCATAAAAGTCAGTATTTGTGGCTAAGAATGTGTATATTTGGCTTTATCTGCTTCGAAATAGAATGGAATAACTGTCAGTCAGTCAATCCATTTCTCTGGTGTCACTTTGAACAGCTGCTTTAACGCAACCTACAGGGCCAACAAACTGAAGTATTTGCCTGGTATGGATTATTTTCCTTCAGATTATGCTTCTAATTACCATCACCTCACAACAAATATGGTGAACACTAATAATGTCTATCCTACTACAAAGTGCTATATAAGCATCATGTTTTCCTGCATTTTTATATAGACAGACTTGGTTTAATTTAAGTACATCTTTACTTTTCCTTGAATAATACTGTGAAATCTGAGAATCACTAATGGTTAAGTAATGAATATTTCAGCTTTTCCCTAGGTTCTGATGCTGTCATTTCTGGTGATCAAATTTACTAACAAAATCCTCCTAAAAGGAAAATAAATCCCCGTAGGCCAGCATTTAATAGTTAGAGTGAGGTTTTTCACTGAAAAAAAGGTTGAACATATACACATTACTGCAGGGAAAACAATGTGAATTCAGGATACCTTTTTTCTATATGTATTTTAAAATGTGTTTTCTTAACTTCTAGATGAAATTGTAAAAGCAGCGATGGATCTAGATGGCAAACATGTTGTCTGCATCTTGGACATCTGTCACTTGGGTGATGATAAGGTAGAAGTGTTTCTGAGCAAAATCTACAAGACTGTGGAACCTGGTGTGGAACCGGTAGAATCTGGTGCAATTTAATAACTTATTTTTCAGATTTATATTGTTCAAAAGGAGGGAAATAAAATTGCTGTAACTTGAATACACCCTCTACACATTGCACTTTTCTAGAACTAGCAGACACAAACATAAAATTATGATTCTTAGATCAATTGTAATGGTCATCCATGTAACTGAGAAGGATGATTGTTCACATTATTTTTCGTCAGCCTTGAAATGGATTACACAATGTCTTGGTCACTTAACGTTCAGGAAGGATGAATAGGCAATGCAGTGAGCTTATCTTTTGATAGGATACCAAGGAGTATAAGTCTGATTGTCATCCCTCTTTCTCTGCCTGTGCACGTACATACACGGGAAATGTGTATATCAGGGTAGGAACTGAGAAGAGCGGCAGGCTTTCCCAGTATTAAAGGCAATGTCTGCAAAAGAATTAGCTGGCTGTGATGTAAATTTAGGCTGGAAATTAGAATAATTTTTAGGATTAGAGCTGTTATATTCTATAGTGATCTTTTGGCGGGAGGTACTATGGGCAGCCTAACTGCTCTTCAGGCTTGAAGCTTACTGGGTTTGTGGAAGGGATTAAATACCGTGGTGCCTTTAGTACCGGGAACTGGACTCAGTGATCCGAGAAGCCACTGTCAGTTCTTTTTACCTGAGCAAGATCAACTATTGGGTTTTCATATGTCTGCTTTTGTAGATATAGTGTTGGATAGTGAATGTAGCACCCAAAAGTTTTTAACATATTTTATTTATTAACAAAAAAGTAATGAAACATTTTAAAAAAGAAACTTTGATAGTGGAACTTGCTTCTAGCTTTGCAAGAGTGCTTAGCATCGCAGGATACACAGTTTGTCACACCTGTAGGTTTTTTTCTGTTGATCACCACTGTCCGCTTTCTTTTTGGTAGTAGCTATATTCTGAGTATATCAAAGAGCTGAGCAGCTGCAAGAAGCTGCTACTTCCACAAGAGCAAGAGACTGTAAAATCCTGTCAACTTTTTGCCTATGTACTAATTAGCAGCTGGCTCCTGCTGAGTTCAGAACCAAGTCCCACTTTTTTTCATGTCGAACCTTTTATACAAGGAAATTATTCTCAAGTAGGAGCTTAAACACATTGCTATTTGACAACTTGTCCATGTGAAATGCTGGTCTCAGTTCAATTCTTTGAGAAGAAATGATTGAATTATGGAAGCTTGCCAATTAAATTTTACCATTATTGACCAAAGCTCACAGAGTTAATTGACAGGAACAGATTTATTCCTTTGCGAGAAACTTTTAAACACATTTTAGCAGCATGTTGGTAATTGGGAAGTATTTCTTTCAACTAGTAGCTCACTCGTCTGTTCTGGGGACAGTGGACTTTGTCTTCAAGAACTTAAATTCTGTACCCTAACTTCAGTTGATGGTAATTGAAGGAGAAACATAACTGTCTTTGTTATAGTACAAGTTCATAGGCAACTTTGGATAAAAACTAAAAGCCTGTGAGGGCTAAGGAGAATGACAAAATTACTCTGTCTCTCTAGTGTGGTTTACAGTTTAAAAATGTATTAATGAGAGAAGTTTAACTTAAATTGCAGACAGACTAAAAGTTAATGAAATGTGACTATGTATTGTGTGTTTATATTTTGTATGAATCATACAGTATTAGTTCTAGAGCAATGTTTGTCAACCCATGCCTTTGAGCATAGCTTGTAACCTCACCACAGAAGGCAAATGAAAACATACCAATCCAGGAAGAGCACAGTGTTGCTTGCAATATGTTATTTGTGTAATTTTGTTGCTTATGGATATGTGAAAGTTAGAGGCCATTGCTCTAGAGTGAGATTAGCACCAGCACTTCGTATTCCAAACTGAGCCATGCTGACTGTGTCAGCCAGTATTTTTTATTTAGATATACTTCAGGTCGAAGTCTAATTTTAATGAAACCATGATTTCTAGAAGCAATTTTAAAAGCAGTTATCTTTGTACGACAATACTGATGTAGCTAACACTGTCACAGAGTTGCTCTATTCAGTTGTTCTGGCTGTTCCATCCATCCCATGCAATAGAAATGCAGCGAAGACTGTTTGCCACGTTGCACTCCTTACTACACTTTAAACGAAGCATTAATCATTTCATCCTTCATGTTAGGACTTCCTAACTCTAAAAGAAATATCAGAATTATGTGGAATATGTATAATATGCACTTGAGACTTTAAAGTATGTAATTTTATTTTACAGAAGTGGTGTTTGAAGTTTTTCCTGGCAAAAGCTGGGAAGGAGAGATACTTAGTCTTGCAGAATGAAGTGCCAAGCACAGGCTCTCTGTGTATAGCTAGAGAAAATCCAATGCCTGTAGTAGACTTGGAATTTCAATACTCTGGGTCGTTCTGTAGAGGCACTTACCCCATCCCCTCGAGTTACACTGAACTTAATATGCCAACTTCAGTTCCTGAAGTGTTGCAGTGTTAATACACAGTTCCACCCACTCTGGCTCCCTCCTCCCTGCCACACCAGCACTGTAGCACGGGGGTGAAGGTCCTTTCTGCAAAGAAACTACTGTTTTATTTCCTTTGGTGTTTATTGACCAAGAATAAAACCAAAATATTTTTCACCCTGAGTCTGTCACATCATAACAAACATGTGAATTGTGCCATGTTAAACCAAGATACAGAATCTTTACTCCTGAAAAACGTCATAGGATCGTCTTTCTGGCTGCTGTATATTGCTACTGCTGAGGGTAAAATACTATCAAAGCACATTCCCTAACTGTAGAACTCAGACACAACCAAAGAACTGTACTCTAAAGTTTGCAGGTTTTTTACGTTTCCAGCATTAATTTCAAAGAAAAACAGAGGAGGATAAATTGTACGTAGCTGATGGTACTTTTGATTGTGTAAAACTTGCTTAGGTCATAGGTCTTAGAGGTAATATCAGTTTTGAATTCATGTGGTGTAGAGCTAGTGCAAAACTGAAAAATATAAATAAATGAATTAATATATGTAAATGTCTTGGGTTATTTCTTTCCATTTTCTTTTCACTTTCAAAGCTGTTTCAGGTTTCCAGGAATCCTCACCACACTTGTGTTTACTCTTTCAAGGAATCTTTACAGAGAAACTAGGTCGAGCTTCCATCAAAACATATGCCAGCGATTGCAGCTTCTCCTGGCTTTCAAGACTGCGCAGCATGACTTTTGTAGAAAAAACTGGAAAAAGGTCTTGATGACTTTACAGTTTGTCCTTTATTTTCATTATGGACTACAGAGTTCTAACATTAGAAAGTTTTTCATTTTTCTGCTCTAATATAAGCAAGTAAGAGTTGATGCTACTAATTGGTATGGAATATAACACTGACAGAATTCAGAGAAAGAATCTATATCCGGAAATGGAGAGTTGTGTGATAATTATTCAGACATCTCAGTGTAAATCTTGAAAGTCAGCTAGAGAGTGAAAAGGAGCTGAAAGAGGTAATTTGCTTCTGTGATCGGTTTAGGTGATTCTACTTCTCTTGCGTTAAAAACAGATAATTGCAAACCCCAGAACAAACTGGACCTGAGAGAGTAGATGAAAGAATCTGAAAGGTGAAATGTGGGGAATGACTTGGTTATCTTAGCCCACAAGATGGGTGCATTTTTTTACTATTTCCCTCACTTCACTTTTAACAAGATCATTTGCATCACAGATTGCACTGTGAAGTGAGAACCCTGAGCTTACATCCCTGAAGGAAAGATGACCCTGTCCTCCAAAGTGGCACTGGGGTTGAAATAGGAGCTTGAGCGATCTCTTAGGAAGGATCATCAAAGCTGGAATTTGTGCAGTAATGGGGGTGAGAGGAGGAGAGGGAGAATCATGCTTTGTGGAGCAAAAGTTAGAGCTGACAATGACTGGCAGGTCCTTCAACGTGCATGTCATTAATACCTGCACAGTCAGCAGGTGTGTCACTTGTACCCTCCCAGCCCCCACGCCAGGAAAGGTCACTGACACCGTGAGCACTTTACCTGGGTGGTGTCAAGTTCCTTGTGGAACTGAAATTTCAAACTCCTCAGTAGGCTCTGGGCTAACGGCAAGCACCACCAGCTGAAAAGACCTGCAGACATCTACATTTTGAGCTTATCTGAATAAGCAATGAAGCAGGCGGATAAATTCATTTTTTTCTGCCTCCTGGAGACTGTTAGTATTTTATTTGAGACCACAGAGGCGTTTTCTGTGAGAGCCTCTGTAAGTTTATTCTATTTCAACAGCGCCACTAACAGCACTGTGTCCGAGCACTGCGAATGTGGCCAGTATGGAGCAAATTCTCCTCTACTTAGTGCTTCAGGGCTCGTGGGCATTCCTAAATCTGCTAATCGTCAAGCCTGCGATGCAAACACCCAGTTCACCGTCACAGCGCCGCAGTGGATCGCACTGATTGAACGAGGCAATTGCACTTTTGCTGAAAAAATTAAGGTGGCCGCCAGAAGGGGTGCAACGGCAGCCGTGATCTACAACGCGGCGGACAAAGGCAACGGCACCATCCTGATGTCACATCTCGGTGAGTGTCGCAGCGTGAAGCGCTGAAACCTGACCGTTTCTCTGCAGCTTGGTCCCGGGCAGCACAGCCGGGCTATAAGGAAGCACTTGTGTTTGTGGATGGTTGTTGCTTTCGCCAGGAGTTCAGTGGGAAAACAAATTTATTATGCAATTTGAGCTTTGACTTCAGGGCTTAGTAAGAAATACTCTGCTGTTAACATTCTGAGCTTGGTGCAGTGTAGCCAAACTGGTGAGTCTCTGAAGTTAGTTACATTTTTCACTTGTACAGCATACAATTTATTTTAGACAGTGACGTGGAGAAACCCGTAGTGTCTGCTTTGAAGGCACTAGTTTAGTTTTTGAAATTAGAGCGCACAAATGAACCTACAAGTGCCTGCAGCATAGGGATATGCTTTGCAGGTTGCAAGACGGATCTTGCTTTTTTTGCCCTTTTTTTTTTTTTCCCTAAATTGTTTTAATCCTTTCTGAATAGTGGCTGATCCCAGTCTCTTCTAGGATTCCCAAATTCCTTAATGAAAAGTTAGACAAAATGGTTGTAGTCGCCCATTCTGGCCCTAATAGCTATGAATCTGTCATTAGGGAAGAACTGAGACGGTAATTGCGATACTGTATTGCTTGGCTTTTATTTCTGTGTGTTTCCTCTGTGTCAACCTGTCTAATAGGCATTTTAGTACAAAGCAGATGTATTCATAGCTAATGCCTTGAAATTCCTTTGGTGAAGCTGCTCTTAAATTTTGCATGTCTGATTTTGTGAGCAAACTGAGAGATTTTTAATCCGGAGATGAGCCAGCGCTTTACTGCTGGCATCCTAGTGCTGTTTTGGGGTTCCCACTTCAGGATGTGTCTTGCTGTGGAGCCCACACCTGGCCAGGCTGGCCCAGAGCCTCAGGTGTGCCCCTGCAGGAGCATCACAGGTGCTTTAGGAACCTAACCAGCACGTGAGGCTCAGCTCAGAAAAGAAAAAAGTATCCTTAACAAGGTATTGCACAACACGATAAAACCTGTGCTCTTCGGCGCTGAAAGTGCAGTGGCTCGTTGTATTCCACAGCCAGCTTTGACTCTCCTGAGACCATGACAGAGCTGGTGTTTGCAAACGGAGCTGAAATGTTTCACAGGAAATGTGTAGCAAATAAACCAAAGCTTTTGTTCTACCTCTGCAGAAAGCGATTTAGACTTGAGTGGCCGGCATGTCGAGATTCAGATTAACTTGCTTTTTTTATTTGGTTTTGGAGCGTGCCAGCTCGTACTAACACTGCATGAATAAAGAAGGAATTGTGTTGGCTTTACGTAGCTGCAAAATTGGTGCCAGCTGCGTTTCTTGTGACTCCAACTGGCCCAAGGCGGGAGCGGGGCAGCCTGTTTCCCCAGAGGTCAGCGGAGGAGAATGGGATTGAACCTCGTTTAGACACTGAATAACTGGGATGTCACAAACCCAAGAGTTAGACTCAAGAGCAAGATAGTTATTTAGGATGAGCTCTGAAAGCAGACTCTAATTTTTCAGATTATTTTTCCTAAACTAAAAAGATTTTTTAAATCTTGAAAGCAACAGATATATCACCCGAGTGTATTTCATGAGACATGAAGCCCCATCCTTCTTAATTTAGTTCACTTAGTTTTCTCCAAGGCAAACAGATTTTTATAGGAGTATTTCCTGTAGTCATCTTACAGGACTAAAGTGGATATTACGGTCTATTTGGTGGCAAAGAGGGTTTATGAGTCAGTGCAGTAGTCACTTGTTAAACACAGTGAGGGCAAAATACTTCAGTGAGATGAGCTCTTCATCTAATCGGTATAGGGGAAGCATCCTCTGTATTTGTTTCCCTCAGGGCAAAGCATTGAGCTGTGCACTCTTTAGGTAGAAGAGAAGAAGCCTGGTAGAGGGGTGGTCATCGCAGCACAGTGCTCAGAGCAAAAGAGTGCTTGGAGATGGTTTACTTTATAAAGTAGAGTTGATCACGGGGCTGGGGAAAGAAATCTCCTACTTGGCTGGAATCTGCCAGTGGTGGCATCGCCCAGAGAGGTCTGAGAGGACTCGATGATTAATCTTCTCTACCTTATGGGCCTTTGGAGATGAGATGCCCTGTTGGTAGAGCAGCGAGAGGAAAATCTGCCCTGCTGCTGCCAGGGATCTGTGAGCTCCTGATTAAAGAAGGGGCAGCAGCTGCTGGGGTTATCAGCTGGCCCTTCAGTGACCGTCTGTATGGCTCTGCCACCGCACAGGGCTACAGGAACCCCATCACCTTGGTTATTCAATAGACCATGGGGCCTTGGCTGCAGTTTCCCGCCGTCCTCCTCCTTTCCTGCTGACTTCAGTATAAAATCAATAGAGCTTCCTAGCCAGCCTTATTTTGTGTTACCACAGTACAATATTATGGATGTATTTCACATCGTAAAACGCCCGCTAACTCTTACACCCATGAAATAGTTTGTTCTGGGCAAAGTCCGGGCTGGCAGGAGACGTTGGTAATTTAAAGTGCTGGGAAGGAACAAAGAGAAAAAAAAACCTCCCCTCTTGGTGACGCCTTCCTCATCCTCTACTGCAGCTCCTTTTACCTGCCATTAGTTTTACCTGTTACTGGGTATTGGTTTGTTGTTACACACACACCCCTAAGATAAAGCTGATACATAAATTGCTTTTACGATGGAAAATTTTAGAGGTCAAGGTATTAGTAATAACTTTCTCATTCCTCTCCGATTATGCAAATCACAGGTGGGAAAATGCTCTACTATGACCTGAAGGATTTTCTGTAAGTGTTTGTGTCATTTGTACAGAGAACTTGGTCTCTGTACCATCGGATCAATCTCAGCTGTTGCAACTTTTTTAGTAGTTTCAGCACTTAATTGATTTTCTCTGGAAAGGAGATGGAATATGCATCTGTAACGACATTTTTCCAGTACCGCTCCTTGAAACTTACATGGAAATTCCAGGAATTATCAAGTTTTTGAAACACAGCCAAGTTTAAACAAGGTATTTTGGGGGTCCTTTTTAAGTAACAAATACTGAACCACAGCCGGCAGCAGAATAACGGTGCTCTGCAGAGTCATGAAGCAGCTGGTTTTGGCCGATGCTTTGTGGGCAGTGCTGCCACGGCTCGGTAGAGGGCTGTATCCTCTTGTCACTGTGATTCTCTTCCTTTTTTCCTGTTCATTTACAAGAGAAAACAGGAGACTGGAGATAGCATTAAAAAAAAAAAAAAAGATAAAATGAAAACACCCTTGTTGCTGCCATTTGGATACTAGTCCAATATAGCAGTTAGGCTAAAATATCAGGTGTTTTCTCCAAGGGATTTACTAAACCCCAGTGAAAGGGAACTCTTATTGGTTAAAGCCTCCAAGACTCGTGAAGAACAGTACCCTGGCAGAACTGTACAACAGGAGCAAGCAGATATCTCAGTTGCTCTGTGCAAGAGAAATAACCAGCAATTCTGCCAGTAATTGAAAAAAAAATTGTTGTG